TTTAGGTAGAAGATCACTAATCCCTTACATGAAGTGATCCTCCATCCTCATGACTTAGTCATCCCCCAAAGTTCCACCTCCTCAAACCATCACCCAGGGGATTAGAATTCAACATAGCCACTTTGGATAGACATAAACACTGAGTCCCTACCAGGGGACTATAGGCTGCTGTCCAGGAAAGGCAGGTTTTGCTCAGCATGGGGAGAGCTGCTGTATTCAGGCTTTGCCTGCCTATACCATTCCTGGCAGGTGGTGGAGGAAATGGTCATACTCAGCTCATGTCTAATATCTTAGAGCCAGGGGTGAGTATATGTGTGTGTTTCTTCCACTCCAAGGTGCATTCCAACCTCCAGGTGATCATTAGAACTCCAGTGAGTTCTCTTTTTTTCCCCCTGCCTTCTACTTGCTCGGAAATGACTTTCCTGACTTAGTTGTTCTACGCTATGTTCCAGACTTTTATTTAGAATTGTTGTGGTCTGAACATGTGTCCCCTTGAATTCATATGGTAAAATACTAAGGCCCATAGTGATAGTGTTAGGTGAGACTTTTGGGAATTGATTAGGTTTGAAGGGCAAAGCCCTTGTGAGTGGATTAGTGCCTTTAGAGAAGAGGCCCTAGAAAGTGCCATTGACCTTCTCAACCATGTGAGGACAAGCTAGACAGTGCCATCTGTAAGGCACAAGCGGACCTCTCCAAACACTGACTCTACTTGTACTTGATCTTGCTAGTTCCAGGCTCCAGACTTAATAGAGGTACTTAATAGAGCAGGAAAGTACTTATATACTTAATAGGTACTTAATAGAACAGGAAACACTTGAAGGAAGTCTAGATAAGGGAGTGGAAAGAAATCTGGAGACATTGATGACTTAAAGTCAGACATCTGGGATCTTGCTCTATTGTGATCTCTAAGCTTCTGTCCTTAAGCTGTGTAATTACTGTGGTTTAATTTTTTTTCTCTACCTCAAACTAGTAACTAATATATACATTATGACAATGTATATAAGCTGAATTATGTCTTAGTAATGGTGCCCTAAAAATCTCTGAGATTTAATTTTTTTTTTCATATAGTTCATATAGTTTTAAGGTCTGGAATTAGTTTAAAAAGACTGTTGCTGCCAGGTGCTCATGCTTATAAACCTAGCTACTTAGGGTTATATGTGAGACTGGACAGGAAAGTCTGTGAGACTCTTATCTCCAATTAACCACCAGTGGAGCTATGGCTCAAACTGGTAGAGCACTAGCCTTGAGCAAAAAACAAAACAAAAAACTCAAGGACAATACCAGGCCCTGAGTTCAAGCCCCACAACACACACACACACACACACACACACACACACACACACACACACACACGGCTTTTACTATTCCAAGTATAAAGGAGTATACCAGAATTAACATATAGTAGTATTTACCTTTAGCATGTGTTTGACTTTGGCTTTGAATTAGTGGTAATTTCCTTAAACATGTTTGCCCTTTTTTCTATTGTTCAATGAAGAGAACAGTGAAAAATCAGAGTGCTGATCATAGTGCATCTGAGTATGAAACAAGGAAATGTGCTCCCCTCTTTTTTATGGTTTAGGAACATGCAAAGATGGTTACCAGGCCATAAATGAGGCATCCTGTTACTTTTTACATCTGACCCTCCCTGTCTTAGCCTCTGTGACCTGTTAGGAAGTTGGTCTCCTTGCTCTGGAGCTGCCACAGGTCTGGCTCAAGACCTGAGGCAGTCACAGAAGGGCTCCTATTGAAGCTCCTTTTTATTGACATGAAAGAAGAGGTTGAGCAGAAGAGGAACTAGGCGTCTGCGGCAGCTTTCCCTCTTCCAAGGTAGGCCTGCCCATCACCTGAGCTACAGCAGTTCCTTTAGGGACCTTCAGGGACTAATGCAGGTGTCTTAGGGGCCAACTTAAACTTGGAAGTATTTAGAAAGAAAATCCTAGCAAAAGTTCCAGCTGAGCTCCATGCACATGGCATAAGGCTGCCTCGGCTAGTACTTCTAATATTTATATTTTTTCTACATTACAATGGGTGACATGGGGTGGGGAGAGTAAGGGAGGAAAGGAGAGAGGAAGAGAGATTGCCTGAAGGTCTCACAGATAGTAAATGGGGCTCACTTTGGTGTCTTTTAATCACTGCCTGATGTTTCCACTTATTTCTGTCAGTAGCCCAGCCTTGTCTTCCAGGGTGGACCTCAGGCCATCTACCCTGTGGATGTTTTCTCTAAGATTAAGCTTCTCAGAAGGAGGCTCCCAAATACTTTGCCTCCTCCCCCCCCCCCCCCCAAAAAAAAAAACCCTGCTGAATCTAGTCTTCTAGTCTTTCTGACATTATTCTTCCCTAGGTGATAAATTCCCCATGTCTCTTTGCCAGAATCTGGCTCTGACATGTGGTGGGAAGTTGGCTTGTGGCAGGCTGGCTGTGGTGGAAAGGAAATAAACCAACCTCCCCCCTCCCCCCTCCTTGCCTTCAGAAGTGAGCTCCCAGGGGTGGCAGCCAGAGGAGATGACTCCCAAGGGCAAGGGTGGCAACTTGGGGGAAGAGAGGGTCCCTCAGCTTTTCAATGCCTTGAGAAAACTAGAACTGTGTTGATATGTAATTCCTTACTGACTGGTCTTATTTTGCTTTGGATTCTATAACAGGATACTAGTGGGAATCCTTCCCTCCTTTTTCTTCCACAGTTTTGGTTTCAATTTAGGACCTTGTATTTGCTAGGCATGTGCTCTACCATTTGAGCCAGGATCCCCAGTCTTTTTGTTGTAGTGATTTTTTTTTTTAAATAGAGTCTTGCCTTTTGCCTAGGCTAGCCTGGATCATGATCCTCCCCTATGCTTCTCCCATAACTGAGGTGAAAGATGCTTCCCCTCTGAGCAGCTTTTTATTTGTCCAAGTGGGGAGTTTCAAGGACTATTTTCCCAGGCTGACTTCAACTGAGATCCAAACCCTAACGTAGGCTTACGGATGTGCTGTTCATTATAGATCTGGAGGCTTGAAAACAAAGATCAAAGGACCAGCAGATTCAGTATCTAGAGGGGGTCTACTTCATAGGTGGCTGTCTTCTTGCTGTATCCTATGGGAAGAGACAATGTGTGATTCTGTGAGTTCTTTTCTATAAGGAAATTCACTGAATGCATTCTACTTCACTGAGGTGCAATCACCTCCTCCTCCAAGTACCATTCCACCATTTCATTCAGATCCTATGCTTACTTGATTGTCTGTGGGGGTCATCTCCTGTAATTAGGCTGAATTCCCAATGGGAACTTTGGGAACTTGGGAGTTTTGGGTCCTCCACGGTATTGTTTAGAAGGACTCAGAATTCACCAAGAGAACTGGTTTGGATCAGCCTGACTGATAATTTGAAAAATAAATTATACATTTAAAATAATGGTAAACTTATAGGAGAGTAATGAAGCTAGTACACTCATTTTCCTATACCTTTCATCAAACTGCCCTCCATTACTCTACCTCCATAACCATACCCTTTTATCCATACTGAGTTCACAGCACTTTATTGACAAAACTATAGACTCTGTTTTGATTTCCCCAGTATTTCTACTGATGACTTTTTCCTGTTTCTGGATCTGGTATAGGATACCACATTTACATTTAGCTGTCACCTCTTCTCCACCCTCCAATCTGTGGCAGTTTGTTGGTTATTCTTTGTCTTCCATGACCTTGACGAGTTGTGGTCAGGTATTTTGGAGCATGTCCCTCAGTTTGGTTTTATCTGATATTTTTTCATGATTAAATGGAGTTTATAGATCTGGAGGCAGAACACCATGTATGCATATTGTCCTTGTCATATGATACAACAGGCCATTGACATCACAATACAAATGTGATATTAACCTTGATCATCTGGCTAGGTTGTATATAAAGTTACTCTTTTCTCCTTTCCATGTTCTATTTTATTTGTTTGCTTGCTTTAAGTCAACCCAGTCCAGCCCTTACTCAAGGAAAGACAGTAGGTTGAGAGTATTGATTCCCCCTTTTACTCACACCCCCCCCCCCCCGCCCCCCGTCCTGAAGGAAGAAATACCAAAGAATTTGTGAACGTATGTTGTTTAAATCACCAGCACCATCAATCTGTATTTATGAGGAGCTATTTTGCCATGATGCAGATATCTGTTTCCATGGAGGTGATGCTTCAAATGATTCTGTTCAGTTTGAAGCCCAGAGAAACAGGCTGTCTCCTTTTTCCCAGCTCCTGTCACTAAGGTTAGTGAATTTATTAAGATGCTGAAGGAGGATCCTGCCTCTGTGGATATATGATGCCATCTTGGATTTCTGCTGGCGGCTGCATTTTAATGCTGGAGAACCTGGAGTCTGTGTCTCAGGGGAGTGAGGTGTGGGAGTTCAGTGGGCCTGATGTCAGAGATAGCGGTGCTGGCTTTCTTTGCAGATGTGACTCACTTGCTTGCAAACCTAAGGTAACAACCTACAGGAAGTGTTAAGATCACGTCAATAGCAGACTGTATTTTTAGATGCCATTTTTTTTTCACCTTGAAGGCTATATTTGAAATCTCAATTGTGTGACTTACGGGGGAAAATAGAATTTTAAGTAGCTCCAGCCATAACTGACCCTGTGGCTAGCTACTTCAGTTGTCTCTGTGTGTGATGTGGTTCTTGGTCAAGTGCTAGGATCCAAAGTTCTCAACTGCTTTGTGAATTATTTGTGGGAAACTAATAGATACCATGTTTTACTATTCGGACTGACTTTGTTATCAATCAGTGATTGCTTATTTTAGCAGAATGGCTTGACAGTGAATCTCCTACAAGGAGAGGAAAAAAATATGTAGTGGTTTTGTAAGTAAATATAAATCTGATACCTGTTTCTGATCATCTTTTCTAAATCATATATAAATAAAAGCAGGTAGCACACCCCAACCTGGTGGCAGCACATTTGACTAATTATTAATCATAGCTGACTGACCTTTAAGGCAAGTGGTTTACATATGATGCTGCTGAAGCAGGAGGTAAACTGTTGAAATTTTCTCTTCTAGGATGATTTCCTGTTCAGTGTCTCCATTTTAAGTGGGATCCTGTGCAGCATCTTGGCAGTTCTGAAGTTTATGCTCGGGAAGGTTTTGACCAGCAGAGCACTCATAACCGATGGTGAGTAAGGGCTGTGTGGGCCTGACCTTGGGGCTCAGTTTTTGGGCCACTTTTAGCTACTTTGTGTTGCAATAGAGCTGAACAATTTAGAATTCATCTATCCCAACCTGTTTAACGTGTTTTATGATCTCAGGGTACAGGTTACAGGTATTCCTGAGTTTAATAAACTCTTCTTGAAGCCCCTTTTTGGAAGTAGAGTGTTGGCTCAAGTGGTTAGAGAGCCGGCCTTCAGTAAAAGAGCCAAGCAAGAGGTCCTGAGCTTAAATCCCACTACACACAGACACACACACAGACACACACACAGACACACACACAGACACACACACAGACACAGACACAGACACACACACACACACACACATGGCAAGCTCTTAATGCTGCCCCTTTAATCCTCTACTCCCTAATAGAGGCTCAGGAGTCCCAGCTTCTTCATAATGAAGTACAAAGGGCTCCCTAGAATCTCAGATTTCATGCAGATTGTTCCAAATAAAAGGCAAGCGCCTTTTCTGGACTCTGCAAATGCTTCCCGTAATTCTCCATGTTTCTTTTCCTGAATGCTTAGTGAGCAGTTCACATTGGAGTTCGATTACCAGGCTGAAGTTGCCAGGTGACTGCCTGCTCTGGGGAAGCCATCCCTGTGTTCTCTGCTCAAAACTCAAACCAAGCAGAAAAGTGCTTACATAGGCCTTTGGCCTGACCACATAAGGTGTGTGAATGCAGGGAAAAGTGCAAACTCCAAACTAGAGATCTTGCGAACAGTAGTCAGTGGTTTCGCCATTTTAATTTTATTCATTCCCCAGCATGTGCAGACTCTAAGAATAAAGTAGTGAGAAGTTAAGAGTAGAAGTTTGGAATATATTGCATAAGATAAGCAGAAATGGTTAGCTGGATGATGATGATGATGATGATGATGATGATGATGATGATGATGATGATGATGATGATGATGATTTGTAGCTCAGGTTGGCCTCAAACACAAAATTCTTTCTGTCACAGCCTTCCAAATACAAGGATTACAGGTTAAGATTATTTGTTTATTCATTTTATTTATTTATTTATTTATTATGTTGGTTGTGGGGCTCTTGAACTCAGGGCCTGGGCATTACCTTTTTTTTTTTTTTTTAAATTTTATTTTATTTTATTTGAGAACATACTGTACAGAGGGGTTACAATTACATGGGCAGGATAATGCATACATTTCTTACCAAGCATTGCAGCCTCCTCCTTTGTTTACCCTTCACCTCCCTTCCCAGCCTCCCCCCTCCCCCCCACCCAATCATACTCCCCCCCCCCCCCCCCGACGTTGTAAAGCTGGTTTTGACATGACATTTTGTACTTCTCATTGTTGCAACAGGTCCACCTGAATCCTTAAACAACTTGTTTGTCCCCTGGGCATTACCTTTTTTTTCCCACTCAAGGCTAACATACTATCACTTCCACAGCTCCACTTCTGGCTTTTAAATGGAGATGAGTCTCAGGATTTTTTCTTGCCTGGGATGGCTTTTAACTATGGTCCTCAGATCTCAGCCTCCTTAGTAGCTAGGATTACAGGTGTGAGCCACCAGTGCCCAGCACAGAACAATTTCCCCTCCTGAATCTCATTTTCATATGTGAGAAATCTGAAGGCAGAGCGGATGGGTGGCTGGTGGTTGTAGTTTGGACTGGAGAATGGCCATGCAGAGGCCCCTCTTATCCAAATAGTAGAGGTTGGTGAACATAGCACGGGCTGACTCCTCATCCTGCCCCACTCTGTTGCCTTGCTGTGTGAGGAGCTGGGCTGCTGTGGGACAAGGAACCCAGGTGATGCATCTATGTGGGGACTGAGCCTAGGACTAAGTATCTGCCCCATCCATGTTCCCACCATTGCATTCGCTCCCTTACCCCTGCAGCATTGTTGCTCCAGAAGGCAAAAAGAGACCTGCTTGGGGAGAGCATCACCTGGGCCAGTGGATGCAGGTGGGACTTCCTTTGAACAGGCCTGAAGGGTTCCATGATCTGACATCCTCAATGCAAAACTAGGGGTCCTAGTCTTTAGGCAGTGGCCACTCCTAGTCTGATGTCATCAAATATGGTTGGGGGGGGGTGTTAGTGGATCAGAGCCTCACCGTTGGAGATCTTGGTGTTCTGGACCTCATGTGGGGACCCAGGACGGGGCATTTCATAGCAGTGCCTCAGTCCGTGTGGTGTCCACCGAGGTTTAGTGCTGCATCCATAGTCACTCAAAACATCCACGTACAGTGTCACCCAAGGGCCAGTGGATCCTGCTGTGCCCAGCACTCTTGAGCACCGTTGGACAAACAGCACTCAGAATTAGTTCTCAAGGGCCACTTGTGGCTGGGCCTGCTGGTTCCATCCACCTTTGTCACATGCCACCTTTCAGCTTCGGCTAAGGAAGCCTTTGGCCCACTTGAAACCAAAGCTTTTAAAGCAGCAAGGACTGTTGACAGAGTCAAAGAACATTCTCCTCAGATGGAGCCTTCCTGTTCCCTTCTCTGCTTTTAAGCAGTATTAAGGCCCCTCCGTGTAGAGCAGGCAACCAGCCCCAGGCTCATTCCTGGCAAGCTCTTGACACAGCCTTCCTGACACACCCTGGGGGAGGTAGGGATCCTGTTTAGATCAGGTCTTGGGGTGAGTGCTGTGGGGCTAAGCTTGAGAATAATAAATCAGCAGGGTTTGTGGAGTTCTTCCAGCAGAACCCTCCCCCTTTCAGTGTCTGCTCTGTTGGCTGAGAGGCAGTCTTCCCTGGTCTCCAAAAGGGATTGCTGTTTAGGTAAATATTGTGGGATAGATGTATAATTCTTACCAGAGGTGAGCTGAAGAACCAGTGGTTCAGTCTCCTGATGAGGATAGGGAAAATTGAAGACCAATTACAGCCTGGCTTAGCCTTCTGGCTCTCTTTTGACCACAAAGGCACCACAGAATTAGAGGTGTGTATCAAGCTTACACTAATAGAGTTCCACAGACCTGGGCTGGGTTCCCTTTCCTATCTGGGGCATACCTCCAGTTTGGGTTGAGGTGTCTACCTCCTATGATTTTTGTGATCTGGTGTTTTGTAGCATGAAAAGAAAATGCCTACATGGTCCTTGAGTCCTTTATTGGGGAAGACTTCACTAGGGGTGTAAACTTCAAGGATGAGCAGGCATGGACAGATTGTTGGGTTTGGATTTTCTGTCACCATCAAGATCCCTTTCCACCTCTCTGAAGGACTCAGCTGGCCCAGGTATTGGGGCAGAACAGGACACTGACCTGGCTAAATCATGAGTTCCCCATGTCATGTTACCTAAAACATAAGAGGCAGGGCAGGTGTGCCTGGGTGAGCACTGGGTGAGCAGCTCTGCAGCCGGTTCTAGGACCCTGCTGGCCGGCAGAGGCTAGGTGTCCTTGTGCGCTTAGCTAGCTGCAGGGAGGAAGAAATGCTTGCCAGAACCATGTGTGTGGGCCCAGAAGTCCAGCTAACCTCCAGACTCATCATGGCCATAGCCTCATCTCTTTGGAGCCTGTGCCAGTGGCTTTTCCTTCACATGATGACTATTCCACACTAATATACTTACTTAGCCTTCATTGAACTTCTAACCTCCTGCCAGATTCTGTCTTTCTATTATATAGGTGCGGGGAGGGGAGAGGAGAGAAATTTATGCTGAGTATGTTTCTCTAACTTTGGGCTTTTCTATTCATTCATACAACTATCCACAAGTAAGCTATCTGTCACATTCTTGAAACAGAGGAGGGGGAAACACAGGAGAGTGAGTAGTTGAAGTGAAAATCATCCTCCATGCAGAAGAAAGAGCTCTTCTCCAGGCAGAGGGCGTCCTGCAGCCAGAGTGGAGCAGTGGGCAGGGACTGATCCCACAAGGTTAGTTGTTCAGGCCCAGGAGTGTAGATGTTTTACCAAATATTTAAAGAGTCATCTGAGTATCTGTGGTGGGAAACAGTGGAACAAGAGAAGACTGGAAGTAGGGAGAGGTCTCTTGAGAATTGGGGCAGTACAATGGGGCAGTCCACCCTGTGCGGGGAGAGGAGGGAAAGTGTTGGGAGGAGGACAGATGGCCACAGGGTTTGAAGTGAGAGGGAGATGGACTGAGCATTGTTTCATAGAGGCAGCAGGTCCTGCTTTTCAGTGTGTTACCCAGCAGGGGCCTCTTCTAGGAGTGGGCGTGTCTCAGGAAAATAGAAGACAGTAATTACAGCCTCCTGCTAATTGTATTGTCTGGGATCTGGGCTTTATTCATTCATTGGTTCCTGAGTAATATCTAATTGTCTCCTCTTTGTTCTTCCTTCCCTCTGGAAGGAAGGCTGATGGGGTGGGATTAGGGGAGCCCTACTTGTCATTAATGTTGGGGGTTCTCACTGGGGACAGCTGTGGAATGCACACCTTTTGACATTCCACAGACCCAATAAGCCAGGCAGTTTCTACGAGGAGATAGGAAATTAAGCAGCTGTTTCTCCTGCAGAAGGAAGGGTAACACTCCAGGATCATCTGGTGAGTGGCAGATCCTAAGGTGCAGCCCTGTGGGACCTGATTTGTTATGTGTGCCTTTGTAGTCAGGGACAACAGCAGGTAGAAGGTGGCAAGGGCACGTTTAAGACTTGCTTTCATGCTGCCCAGTTGTGGTGCTTTGACATTGTTAACATGCATGTACTCTCAGGACTAGGATGAAATGCAAGCTTTGTGATATTCAAAGTAAAATAGCTTTGTGCTACAAAGAAATACTGCAAATCAAATGTAGGAAGAACGGGAGAGGCACTGGGCCAGGGCCCAGCTTTAGTGCTCTGATGTCCAGAACCAGTCTGGATTCGAGTACCTCACTCTGCTACAGTTCTGAAATACTGAGTTTTCAAACGTCTAAACATATCAGATATTCCGCATAAAATGAATGCACTTAATTATGCACAGTAGGGTGGCATCTCTAGTCAAGATGGCCCTAGCCCTTATTTTGTGCTATTAAGCATTATTTTTTTTAGAGCAGCTGAGGTTATAACTAATGCTACTGCCCAGCTACTTTGGATGATCATCAGAGCCTGGTATGCTGTGATTGGTTGATGGGGCTGGGATGGTGCCCTTGGTGGATGATCATCAGAGCCTGGTCTGCTGTGATTGGTTGATGGGGCTGGGATGGTGACCTTGGCTGGGACTCAGGCTCCTCCTGCCTGTGGGATGATTGGCCAGGAAGGCTGCAAAGCTCTGAGGAAGGCAGCAGCTAAGACCTGACCCTAGTTCCCGGCTGCTCTAGCATTCTCAGGCAGACTTCTAAGAGGTGAAGCCAAATGAGTCAGGTTTTATCATCTGAGAAGGTGTAGGTGGAGGAGGTGAGCATGCCTCAAATCCTAGGGAGGAGCTGTGAATCATTCAGGGAACCTGCTCCGGGCTGTCTTTGGTGCTGGCAGCCCAGGCCTTCAGTGGTGGAGCAGAGTGGACCTCTAGTGGCTGGCTGGGGGAAACCTCAGGCTCTCCTATCTACCTACCACTGGAAATGTATCAGGGCTGCTGGTCCAGACAAGACTTGCTGGACTTTAGGGCCACCACCCACACCTTTCCTTCCTCTCCATCTGGTAATTCAATAATTAATGTAGGGACCATCTGAGCCCATGATACAGGTGAGGCCCTCTTCTGTGACATGAAATACAGCAAGGAAAGGGAACAAGTTCCTGTCTGTGGGAAAGAGATGATACAACAGAAACAGCAAAAGTAACCTGTTAGGTAGAGAGCCCACAGGCTTCATAGAGAAAAGCAGAGCCTCCTTCTAGCCAACCGGTATATGGGGGCCATGAGTAGAAAGATGTTTGAGGAGTGCTAGGGGCCTGAGCTGTGGGCTAGGTGGTAGGCAGGAAGCCTGGGAAGACCCCGGAGGAAGAGGTAAGTTCAAGGGCCCCTGTGGGATAGCGTGCAGCTGTTGAGTGGCTGGAAGGTAGTAGGGGAGGGATGTGGTATCAGATACATGAAGGAAGAATTTGCATAAACTCTGGTGGCTTTGAGCACTTGTCCAACACTCTGGCTGCTGGGGGGTGGGGGTGGAATGTGAGTTTAATGAGAAATAGACAGAAATAGAAGGTGAAGAGGCTGGTTCAAGGGTCCAGGAGTGGTGGCTTGGATAGGGTTGGAAAGTTGGGGTGGGGGCCTCATAAGAGGTAACAGATCTTCAGAATTCCTTAGACTTTAAGTCCTAAGAAATCTAATAGCCTATCCTGGGCTCCTAGATTTTTGGCCTTGGCAACTGACCACATGGTAACCATCACTGAGCTGGCTGCTGGAGGGTGAGATGTTGAGTTGTAGGAATTGATTTCTGTGTTGTGTACATTTTGAGTGAACCTGAGGAGAAAAGTGGGGCCCAAAGATGGATGTTTTGCGAGATTTTTCTCCTGGGGTGGGAGAATACAGATAATGCAGATATAGCCCAAAGGGCCAACCGCAAGCCACCTGGATGGGGATGTGCAGAAAAAGCCAACAAAGAACTGCTGGAAGAACTTTCCAGAAAGAGGAGATCACCTCTATCAGGCAGTGTGTCACAGATGACCTTGAGAGGGGCCTTGGGGAAGAAGCAGCCTGAGTGGAAGGGGTGGAAACACTGAAGACATCTCTCTGGCAGTTTTATGAGGAACAGTGGCAGCTGGGTCAAGGAGGGATGCGATGGGAGAGGCCAAGATGGGAGTATATCCCACTAGGAAGGATCTAGATAAGTAAGGCTTGCCTTATACCAGGACAAAGAGGACTAAAGTAGCTGCTGTTACAGGTGAGTGGTGTTATTGGGGAGAGGAAGAATTCGTGTCCTCTGACAATCAACTGCAAATTGGAGGAGAAGAGAGGGGGAGGGGATGATGGTGTCCATCCCAGGGACACAGTCCTAGAGACGTCCTTCCAGACCTCAGGATCATGTTCTCACTGAGGAATAACCCCTAGTTTTCCTCTCCCCTTGGTCCTCAGAGTTGGGCTGTACCCCACTTGCTTCCTCTTCGCCTGCATTCCACATAGAATAGTCCTGTCTTTTCGGGGGTTTGAGCTCAATATTCCTGCTTGGAACAGAGCCAGGGTGTTGAGTTCAGCACAGGCAATGGCTCTGTTATACCCAGCACAGCAGTCCCAGGATTGATACCAGGCCTGGTGCTAAGTGGGGCTTGACCCTGTGTGGACCTGGCACTGCCCCCAGAGCCACTGTAATGTGGAAGCAGGTGAGAAGCCTATGGCACAGGGAAGACTCACAAGCCATCCTAAGTCAGCCTTTAGACCTGTGAGAAAACTTAGGTAAGACAGAAATGTGAAGTGTAAGTTGTGGAGATCAGAGGCCACACAAAGGGGAGATGGTGATCACTGTGTGTGTGTGTGTGTGTGTGTGTGTGTGTGTGTGTGTGTGCGCGCGCACACGCACACGCGCAAGTATTGCGGCCATCAGATAGTTATTGATTTGTCTGCTCAGGCTGGCTTCAAACCCTGATTTTCAGATCTCAGCCTCTGAGTAGCTAGGGTTATAGGTGTAAACTACCTGTGTTCAGTATTGCTGCTTCCTCCCCCTCCCTCACCTTTACCCCCATTTCTAGCCAGGTAGCTAATTCAGAGCTTTGTGTTGCTTTTCTGGAGAGGGAGGGAAAAATGTTCTGACTTGAGGTTAGAGGAGACTCAAGAGGGAATGGACACAGGCCCTCAAGCTAGATAACTGGTTTATTTACTTCCCTCTGCTTAGTTTTCTCATTGGTTAAACATTGATGATAATTTTGGCCAGCTCAGAGCATGGCCCAGTGACCATTGAACAGATTTGAGTCATTACCATGAATGGGGTGCTGTCTTGGGCTCTGGAATTCAACCAGAAACCAAACTCTTCCTACTCAAAGTTTTTGTTCTAATGGTGTGTGTGTGTGTGTGTGTGTGTGTGTGTGTGTGTGTGTGAAGACCCACAGTGAACCCCACATGTGCTCTGTTATGGGGCTGTAAGTGCTTAGAAAACAGAGGGTGTAGAGACTGATAGCTCTACTTAGGGAAATCCTTAGTGGCTGTCACCCATAAGAAAGCATCCAGGCAAACTTCACTAACATTTGAGTAGCAAAGATCACTGGACATTGCCTTGTATCTTCTCTCTGCTTCTTCTGCAGGGTTTAACTCCCTTGTGGGCGGTGTGATGGGCTTCTCCATTCTTCTGAGCGCTGAAGTATTCAAGCACAATGCAGCAGTCTGGTACCTGGATGGCAGCATAGGCGTGCTGATCGGACTCACCATCTTTGCTTATGGGGTCAAGTAGGTTCCGATTTATTCTTTGCTACTCCATCTCCTTCTTCAGCCAAAAATGACAGGATCTTGGGAGTTACAGATTGTCCCCATGTGATTCCAGAGCTTTGTCCTGTCAGGTGACTGATGGAAGCCCCTGGCTGCAGCATTCCTTTTAGTGGATAAGGTACTTGAGGGCTTTGAGTCTTCTCTGTAATGGGGGTCTCCATGATGCTCCAGGCTAGCATCCTTGAGTGTTTTTCTCACCTGTCAAGTTCTCTGCTTGCTACCTACTTCATGTAGGCAATGCTACCTTGAATTTGGGAGCCAGTAACACCACTGACCAGAGCTCAGGCCCTAGCTTTAGAGAACATTTTTTCTTTTTTGGAAAAATAACTAGACAGAAGGACCGTACTAAGGCACAACCAGTACTCTCATTGAAAAAGGGTTACAGTGGCATGCTGGCTCTGGATGGAGTGTCCAAGCTGGAGTCAGCCTTTGAAAGAACCATTCCTGCAAGACACCAGCTGAGCTTTTCAATGTTAAGGTGCTTTCTGATTCCCAATAGGCAGTGGTGACCAGACTCAAAAACCATGGAGGGTTACAAGTGTGGGTAAGGATGCAGAGGGATGCTCATGCACACCTGGTGGGAATGCACGTGGTGCTGCTGCTTTGAAAAAGAACTTGGCAGTTCCTGCAAATATTGAGTTACCATTTGGCCCAGCAATAGTGCTCCTTGGCATGCACTACTCCAGAGAAACAGAACAAACACCATGCCAAAACTTGCATAGGAATGTTCACAGCAGCATTGTCCATTAGCTGATGGATAAATGTGGTATGCCCAAGCAGTGGACTATTCGCTATGAAGAATGAAGGACTAATAAACACTACTATAGAGATGTAACATGCCAAGGGAAAGAATCTAGATACAAAAGGCCCCCTAAATGCACACTTCACTTTATATAAAAAGTTCCCAGAACACATCTATAGAGATGAGAGAAATTGACTGCTAAAGCTTCCCCTGCTAAGGGGCGTAATTACTTTTTGGGATCAAAAATGGTTCTGGAATTAATAGGGATGATCACACATATTCCTGAGTGTACTAATGAACTGCCTACTTCTCAAGGGTGAATGTTATGGCATGTGAATTCTCTTAGGAAACAAGACATTTCCTCTGAGCTCCTTCCAGGGTCTGTGCTGAGTGGCCATGTCCATTTTCCCTCTTTGCAGACTCCTCATTGACATGGTGCCGAGGGTCCGGCAGACACGTCACTACGAGATGTTTGAGTGAAGGTGGCTGAAGGGGCGGGAGCAGGTGGCTCCTCCTGAAGACTGACAAGGTGACGCCAGGTTTCCCTGTAGGCAGACGGTGCCAATATTTAACTGAACATCCCATTTCCTTTTTTTGGAAGTTTTCTTTCATACATTTGTCGTTAAATGATGAGGTCTGCTCAGTGGGCAGATCTTTTCCGTACCCTCACTGTTGTCCCTGTCAAACACAGTAAGACAATGCCCAGAGGAGGGGTCACGCTTCCTCATCCTGGGTGGGAACTGACATCATCTATTGTCTGCAGTAGAACAGTCCTCGAGGGCAGGGTAAGAATCTGCTTGGTAGAAAGCCCTTCTGCGGTGCTCCTAGCCTGAAACAGTAACTGGCAAGGTCCACCTCTTAGTTTTTTTCTGGCAGTTTTTAGGGGAGAGCATGTCCTTCTGCACCCCACCCCCCTTTCCTCTCCAGAACCATCAGTATATCACTTCCTAATTTCTATCAATGTATTGCATTAGTTTCATACTGTTTTACTAATAATGCTAAAATCTAAACAGATGTGTCCAAAAGGAAACCATTCTATTTTTTAAAAAAAAAAGTATGTAGTGATATATGTATGAGCTTTGCATGGACGAGCTAAAGAAGCACACGGCCCTTCCTCACACATTCAGAACCTGCACATCCATGTAAAAACCACGATCCATTTTTTTGAGAGATGTGAGTTTATTTGTAATAAATAATGATATAGTTATCCATATATGCATATATCTATATGCTGTGTTACGTGGTAATGGTATATTACAGTCTGTGAGATGGTTTACTCATCTGTAAGAAACAAGACGTTTTCTGTGTATGCAACGCTAAGTATTGATGTCATAGACATGTCTCCCACCCCACAACGTTCTGTACCTCTCACAGTACTGCCTGCCCGGGCAGCAGCAGCTGGTCAATAAACACCTTTACCTGTTTTGTATGGTACCTGTAACCAGGAGGGAATGTCTGAGAACTGTTCTTGTGCGACGGACCCATTGTGGGCAGGTTCTCCCTTATGCCAGGTGGGAATGATAGCAGAGATCTTGGGCTCCATGGAAGCTCCACCACAGCTTTTTGCACACTCACTGGGTAGCACTGGGGACTGATCACCAGGGACCATCTCCTGTAGTGCTGCTTCAGAAAGGTATAGGTTGAGTCCTCTTGACCTAGCAACCACATATCCAAATTGTTCCAAAAGCCAACAGGGTGCCACAAATGGAAATGTTCACACCTGACCTTCTTGTGATGGATGGGTTGTAGTCACAAGAGGTGCATTAAAAATATTAAAGACCTTGGTCAAATGTGCTCCTTTTAGTGTGGCTCTTCCAACAGATGCTCTGAGGAGCCTTCTATGAGATGTTAATACACTACACACACAGGACCAAATGTATGAGCAAGTCTGGGAAAATGCAGGATTTACCAGCTTTCTTTACCGCACGATTTCTCACTGAATTGAATATACATACAGGGAAGAGAATCTCAGGCACAGAAGACCTTGATGTTTCCTTGGGATATTTTTGAGGAATTGTTTCACTAAACCCTCACTGTCAGCTCCATGGCATCCATTTTGCAGATACTTCTCAGGAGGAGCCAGAAAGGTCGGAGGGGCCATAGTCATGTGGGTTGAACCCCTCAGTGTGACCTGGTGGTAATCTGCCTTATTTCTAGAGCATCTACCTAACCAAGTGCTCATGGCCCACTGGTCCCTTGCCTCAAGCACTGATTATTTCTGAAGGGGAAATGGGTTTTAAGTGCCCGGGCAGTAACAGCTATCAGTTCACTTTCTAGTTCTGCTCCTTTCAAGGTGCATGTAGGAAGGACAGAATGAATGGTCAGTAGTAAAACTCTTTACCTTCTCCTTCAACATGGCTTCTCCAAGTGCTTGTCAATGTGACACAGCAGCCCAGATGTCCTCTTCTCATCCAGCCCCGCCCTCCCCAAAAACCACTTCCACTGCTCACACAAGAAAAGTTTATTGAAAAATAAAGTTCTCCCTAGTTTTCTCTACGACAGTGGAAAACAAAGCCAGTGCTCCCTGTGCCAGTACAGTACATATGGACAGTGACACCTTATGTGCAGACTCCCAGCTACTGAACCCCAGAAGTACAACAGAAAACAGCTGGACCAGAATCTGAAGACATAGACACAAACAGTTATTAGCTTAACACCACCAAGGCTGTGAACAGCAGAAGGGACATCACCATCTCCTTTGGCATCAATTGTTACTCTATTGTCTTATGAATACGTCGGCAGGACAGTGAGCAAAGTGCCACTCACCTTTGTACCTTCTCAGCTTTGGCAGGCTGTGCTGGGATCCCAATATGCCTTCTGACCTGAAGCACCAGTATGCTCTCTGCATGCCCACCACCCCTACTTCAGGGTAGGGTAAGGAACAAGGTGCCACAAAATCTGGGACAGAGGGAGGCTTTGAAGAAGGTAAATGTCAACTGTTACATCCATAAATGATGAGGATAAGAGTGATGATCAACTGAAGAGAAGCCAAAGGAATCTGAAAGAACACACCGAACTCTAGACAGTTCCCCTTGTTCTATGACCACAATCTACCCAGAGTTGTATGGACCAAGGTTGGGAGATAAAAACTTTAAATCTATGAGGGAAGTGAGAGGCTAAATCCAAAACAAAATAAAACAGTAAACTGGTATTTTAACCACTTGGGAAAACGCCATTTAACTATTAGCTTCCCTGGGTAGCTCTTCTGAAAGAGGCCCAAATCCCTCCCCCAGGGCTTCAGTTGCTCCTTCTGGGGTGGGTCATCTCTAGTACTAGTACAAATTCAACTTTGATTTGATGGAAACATGAGGTACCCAGCCTGTTATAGGCCTCCCCGGCCGGCAGGGGGCATCAAAGGGATTTCCTGGGGAATGTATTCCTTTAATTGATCATTTCATTTCCCTTAAAAAGAAGTCTCCATTATTGCATTACAGAGAAAGAGAATGAATATTAAGGGGTGAACTCTGTCTAAGAACTTTTCATTTCTAGCTCAAAAAGTTCCTCAAAGAAATCCCTGGAATGTTCCAGAAGATAGCCATCTATGGTCAAAGGTCGCTTTTACCTTTTCCAACTCCAGTCAATTCTTGCAGCCTTGTTTCAGTGGAGGCTGAAGTCTGGCATATTTTCAAATCATTCAGTGCATTCAGAAATATATTAAAATCTCAACTAGCAGGGTAGGGTAGAACTTGAACACTTGAAACAGTAATTCCTACAACATTCAATGAACTTGGAATAATATTTTCATTTAGGAATCACTTTTGAATCAACAGGGAATGAGCTCAGCTCTTTGTTTTGCAAATTTTATGAAATGCTAATAGTAACAATATTTAACATTTACTAGGGCTTACTATGTGCCAGGCACTGTGCTAAACACTGAATCCTCACAAAATCCTAAGTGCTAGGAAATCTAGGGTATTTTTTTTTTCCTGCATCCAAGACTATACATCTAATTTGGTCTTTTGCTATACATAAAGACTTGGCTCCCCACTTTTTGTTGAAGCCAAGACTGAAAGGAACTCACCCTCAGCTTTCTACAACTGCCAGCTTCCTGAATGAGTATGGACATTTCTGTCCACCCATCTAGTCATAGGAAGATGCTCTGCAGCCTTAGAGGGATGGGTGAGATTAGAAATAAAGCCAATAGAGAAATTAGGCTATTTTTAAATAAATAAAAACAATCCAGGCTTGAGATAGTAACACATACCACAGAGCCCGTCGTTAACAAAATAGACTTTTTCCTTTATAAATCAAGAATTTGAGGGGCATGGGAGAGGATGGCAGCATGTATAATCATACATACAATCTAGGCTAACCACCTTGGTCTGGTCTAAAGATCACCCATCCACTACCTTTAAACAGTTTCATTCTCCTCTACCACCCAGATGGTATCCCAAGCAGTGAGTTGTGTGGGACTCCACTTCCAAAGAGGAAGCTACTGATTTACCTTCATTCATTCCTACATTCATTCACTAAGGAACAGAAAGGGGTTACACATTTTCTCCCCTTTATCCTGTTAATCAGTTGAAGTATTTCTGGGCTACTGTTAACTAAAGAGCTCAGTACCACTGTCACAAAGGGCTGGTCTTCTGCCTGGGCCACAGCTCAGCAAGGATCAGGCTCATGGGAAGCTCAAGCTTCCCAGCCCCCTTGGCAACCCCAAGACAGACCCAAAGTCTGGCCATGTCCAGAGGAAGTCAGAGCTTTTCTTTCACCCTTCTAGGGGTGAATGTGATCACAGAGGCTGTAGCTTGGGGAGCATTTCTCATGCCCAGCCTGAATTTCTGCAGTCCCCAAAAAGCCTGTCCTGTCTCCACATTGGAGCAGTCTGGTGTCATCCTTCAACAGCACCCATACTTCCAAAACTAACCCCCAAAGAAAATGAAAAGGCACATCAGGAAAACAAGGAATAGTTGCTAGTATTTCCAAACATGCAGCCCACAAGCAAACAATGAGCAACAACAAGAAAATGATCACAAGCAGTGACCAAAACCTAATCCAAGAAAAAATGCAAAAGGGGTCTCTATTTGCACATATACAAATCAACTTACACCCATAAAATGAAGTGTTTACTGGCATTCAGAAAAGTCTGTATTTTTCCTTTCAGGAGGGTTTGCTCTGGAAGATGCTGACCTTACAAAGGAAAGCTTTCTCTTCATAAATTAGATAAATGTTTTCCCTCATTTTTTTTAAAAGAGCTTAAGATCACAAAGGGGAAAATAATCTGAAAGACTAGGCAAGACATTATTATATAGCACAGGAAAACATGAATCCTGATTTCGGATTTCTCTCCCTGTGGAATTATCATCAACTTACATGAGTTTATGTTTAAAGATCAACAATGGTAAAACTGCTCTAGGCTCCTAGGCCAACACTATCAGAGGTACTCCTTTCTCTCTCTACACATAGAGCAGATAGAAGCTTCCTCCTCAGCTTCTCCTGGTGGGTCTCTAACCATACCTGGGAGCCAATGTACATCGATTACCTATTGATAAGGCCCATGGCAAGTGGAGTGTGGTTTGTTTGCCCCCAAGAGAGGCAGCCCCAGCTCCCTCCAGTGGAACTGAGCTTCCTTCCAGCTCATACTGGAGCAGGGAAAGTAAGAGGAATTTTAAAATAGAAAAAAGTGCCCTTTTGCAATATCTGACCTAGAAGGTCTTAAGAGGAATGGAAGGAATGGTGGGGAGGCCTTGGGCTCCGGGACAGACAGCAAATGATTCCTGCAGGGAAGATTCCTGAAGGGAAGAATAATGTGACTTTCCCATTTCCTTGCTTTCTGAATTCTTGTGGTTGTGTTGAACGGCTGCTCACTTAGCTGAGCTTCCTGGGAAATTCACTAGGGTTGGGGGTGCCCCCTACTGGTAGCATGTATACACTGTCACCTTCAGCCTGTGTAGTTCCCAGAACAGCCCAGGAGAGGGCAGACCTAGTCTAAGAATTGTTGATCTGGGAACTCAGGCAAACTCCTTCACCCTGGGGGGGCAGCCAAGAGGCTGGGAAAAAGTCCTTTCTCACAGGAAGTAGGCTACTTCTCTCCCCTCCTACTGTAGGAAACTGCCCTAGCAAAACAAAGAAAGGCTCACACACTCTCCATCACCAATGATTGGATTTCCATTGGCTCCTGCAAAGGCCTCCCTCTCCGTACTCTCCCTGAGGGGGTGGAGAAACCCAGCTGCCCCTCCTCATTCTCTAGAACTAGAAGTACCATTCAGACCCATGAAGATCTGAGGGCCTCAGCTGAAAAAGGCTGGCTGTACTGTTGCTATTAGTTAGCCCCCAGGGTAGAAATCAAGAAGCAGGCCCATCTAACTTAAAGGCTCTTCCTTTTCCTCACTTCCTGGCAGGGGCCCCAGCTGGCTCCCCTTCACCCTCCAGCAGGCAGGATGCTGGAAACCCCAAGGCTGCATGTGTGCAGTGAAGCCATAAGCATTC